ATTCACAAATTCAAGCCTCTTTTTTCTGCAAATGGTTTAAAATAATTTTTAAGTGTGTTATTGTACTTAGAAGTGTTTTGTAGACGATTTAAAAACGCCAAAAACACCTGTTGTAACTAAGAACCACTCACTACCATCAAAAATCCAGCGCCATTTTGCCGACTGAAATAGCTAATTGGCTCTTTTCGTAAATTATTATATTTAGTCTCGTCAGATCCAACGATGTACTATTTTTTTAACCCGGCACTTCATGCACGAAACAAACTAATTTAACTTCACGCGCAGGGTATCTCGTACCCAAAAGTGTTTACATTCTGTTTTTACCGTAAAATTTACATACGTAGGTGAAAAAAAAGGAGAAAAAGTAGGAAATACAATATGTTTATCACACTTTTTACACATAAATTTAGTTTTTCTGTTCTTTTTATTTGGGCTTTCACACACACACAGTACATTATTTATACCTTCCTTTAGTCTTCGTCGCGAGTGAGTGCGATATTTTCACTGGAACTTATTTTTTTTTTTAATTTCGTAGAAGCATTGCTTGCTGGTCTTTACATTCTTCAGTTAATCGAAATCGAAAAGACTTCAGAAATCAGCGTCTAGTTGGATGTTTAGAAGGGGGTTTCAGATAACTTTACAAAATAATTTGTGCATTTACTGTCGCAACATAAAAATATCGTCATAGGCTAACGATTAAATTTTTCTAGCCATTGAATAGGATGTGTTCATTTGATCAAGGACGATAATTACTCCCTCAGTTAAATTATCTGGATAGATTTCATTGGAAGAATCATACTTGCTATTATGCTCTTCATTATTGGATTCTTCCTCATCCTCCCCGAAAAGAGACTTTCATCATTCGTAAATACTGTTGTAGTATATCTGTTAGGTTTATTAAATTACTTAAATATCACATTTCTTCATCATAACTACAATAATGCGCCGATGCATAGGACAGATTTTAAAGCATGATCATGCATGTAGAGCTGTAACGGCAATTCACGCGTAGGGTACGACGTGCCCGAAGAGGTGGTATCCAAAAACATATAATTAGAATTCGCCTGCAAGCTAAGGCTCCTCAAAGGATTTGACCTTATTGTCAGCTACACGAGAAACTTTTCATTTTCCGAAGAAGATTTAGATGGAATCCTGAAAAAAGTTAGGCGCTGGGTATGACATACCATGCGCGTGAAGTGCTGGTTTAATCTCTAAAAAGGGCAGCCGTCAATTCGTGCCCGCCCCCCAATATGAATGATTACATTGTAATTTCTTTAAAATGGGAACCTTTGAGTGTGATAATGCGTGAGCCATCTTTGTGGGTCAATCATAGACAGAACCTGTCTTTTATGAACAATATTCCTCTCGATTTGCAACAAAAAGAAGCCGTTGTAATTTCTTAAACTTACATTTTCTAACAAGATAGATTTGTTTGTATTCATCTGTTATAGTAAATCATGCGTCTCAAACGAGTTTACATCGTCTTACTAGCTAATATACTATAACTAGCGTAAAATTGGCGTATTACTCACACTTTACTTTCAAGCTGCATTTTTTATTTTTAAGGTATATTCGCTGTATAACGCGCAGCCTCTTTTTTTACAAG